TTCCAGGTTGTCCATTTTATTGGCATAAAGTTGTTTGTAGTAATCTTTCATGATCTGTTGTATTTCTGCAGTGTCAGTTGTTACTTCTCCTTTTTCATTTCTAATTCTATTGATTTCAGTCTTCTCCCTTTTTTCTTGATGAGTCTGGCTAATGGTTTATCAATTTTCTTTATCTTCTCAAATAACCAGCTTTTAGTTTTATTGATCTTTGCTATCGTTTCCTTCATTTTGTTTTCATTTATTTCTGACCTGATCTTTATGATTTCTTTCCTTCTGCTAACTTTGGGGGATTTTTGTTCTTCTTTCTCTAATTGCTTTAGGTATAAGGTTAGGTTGTTTATTTGGGATGCTTCTTGTTTCTTAAGGTAGGATTGTATTGCTATAAGCTTCCCTCTTAGAACTGCTTTTGCTGCATCACATAGGTTTTGGGTCGTTGTGTTTTCATTGTCATTTGTTTGTAAGTATTTTTTGTTTTCCTCTTTGATTTCTTCAGTGATCTCTTGGTTATTAAGTAGTGTGTTGTTTAGCCTCCATGTGTCTGTATTTTTTTCAGATTTTTTCCTGTAATTGATACCCATTTTCATAGTGTTGTGGTCCAGAAAGATACTTGATATGATTTCGATTTTAAACTTTAAAGTCCCCTACTATGATTGTGTACCTGTCGATTTCCCCTTTTATAGCTGTTAGTATTTGTCTTATGTATTGAGGTGCTCCTATGTTGGGTGCATAAATATTTACAGTTGTTATATCTTCTTCTTGGATTGATCCCTTGATCATTATATAGTCTCCTTCTTTGTCTCTTGTAATAGTCTTTGTTTTAAAGTCTATTTTGTTTTTATAAAGCAGAAACTAACACATCATTGTAAAGCAATTATACTCTACATGATGTTAAAAAAATTAAAATTAAAAAAAATAAAAATAAAAACATAGTCTATTTTGTCTGATATGAGAATTGCCACTCCAGCTTTCTTTTGATTTCCATCTGCATGGAATATTTTTTCCACCCCCTCACTTTCAGTCTGTATGTGTCCCAAGGTCTGAAGTGGGTCTCTTGTAGACAGCATATATACAGGTCTTGTTTTTGTATCCATTCAGCCAATCTATGTCTTTTGGTTGGAGCATTTAAGCCATTTACATTTAAGGTAATTTTTGATATGTATGTTCCTATTCCCATTTTCTTAATTGTTTTGGGTTTGTTATTGTAGGTCTTTTCCTTCTCTTGTGTTTCCTGCCTAGAGAAGTTGCTTTAGCAATTGTTGTAGAGCTGGTTTGCTGCTGCTGAATTCTCCTAGCTTTTACTTGTCTGTAAAGGTTTTAATTTCTCCATCAAATCTCAACCTGGATGTAGGTTTTTCCCTTTCCTCACTTTAAATATGTCCTGCCACTCCCTTCTGGCTTGCAGAGCTTCTGCTGAAAGATCAGCTGTTAACCTTATGGGGATTCCCTTGTATGTTATTTCTTGTGTTTCCCTTGCTGCTTTTAATATTTTTTCAGTGTATTTAATTTTTGATAGTTTGATTAATATGTGTCTTGGCGTGTTTCTCCTTGGATTTATCCTGTATCAGACTCTCTGTACTTCCTGGACTTGATTGACTATTTCCTTTCCCGTATTAGGGAAGTTTTCAACTATAATCTCTTCAAATATTTTCTCAGTCCCTTTGTTTTTCTCTTCTGATTCTGGGACCCCTATAATTCGAATGTTGGTGCATTTAATGTTGTCCTAGAGGTCTCTGAGACTGTCCTCAGTTCTTTTCATTCTTTTTTCTTTATTCTGCTCTGCAGTAGTTATTTCCACTATTTTATCTTCCAGGTCTCTTATCCGTTCTTCTGCCTCAGTTATTCTGCTATTGATCCCTTCTAGAGATTTTTAAATTTCATTTATTGTGTTGTTCATCATTGTTTGTTTGCTCTTTAGTTCTTCTAGGTCCTTGTTAAATGTTTCTTGTATTTTCTCCATTCTATTTCCAAGATTTTGGATCATCTTTACTATCATTATTCGGAATTCTTTTTCAGGTAGACTGCCTATTTCCTCTTCATTTGTTTTGTCTGGTGGGTTTTTGCCTTGCTCCTTCATCTGCTGTGTGTTTCTCTATCTTCTCATTTTGCTTAACTTACTGTGTTTGGGGTCTCCTTTTGCAGGCTGCAGTTTCGTAATTCCTGTTGTTTTTGGTGTCTGTCCCCAGTGGCTAAATTTGGTTCAATGGGTTGTGTAGGGTTCCTGGTGGAGGGGACTAGTGCCTGTGTTGTGGTGGATGAGGCTGGATCTTGTCTTTCTGGTGGGCAGGTCCACGTCTGGTGGTGTGTTTTGGGGTGTCTGTGGACTCATGATTTTAGGCAGCCTCTCTGCTAATGGGTGGGGTTGTGTTCCTGTCTTGCTAGTTGTTTGGCATAGGGTGTCCTGCACTGTAGCTTGCTGGTCGTTGAGTGGAGCTGGGTGTTGGTTTTGAGATGGAGATCTCTGGGAGATTTTCGCTGTTTGATATTACATGCAGCTGGGAGGTCTCTTGTGGACCAGTGTCCTGAACTTGGCTCTCCCACCTCAGAGGCACAGCCCTGATACCTGGCTGGAGCACCAACAGCCTGTCATCCACACGGCTCAGAATAAAAGGGAGGAAAAAAAAGAAAGAAGATAAAATAAAATTAGTAAAATAAAAAATAATTATTAAGAAAAATAATTTTTTAAGTAATAAAAAAGACAGAACCCTAGGAGAAATGGTAAAAGCAAAGCTATACAGACAAAATGACACATGGAAGCATACGCATACACACTCACAAAAAGAGAAAAAGGAAAAATATATGTATATCTTTGCTCCCAAAGTCCACCTCCTCAATTTGGGACGATTCGTTGTCTACTCAGGTATTCCACAGATGCAGGGTACATCACGTTGATTGTGGAGATTTAATCCGCTGCTCCTGAGGCTGCGGGGAGAGTTTTCTCTTTCTTTGCTTTGTTTGCACAGCTCCCGGGGTTCAGCTTTGGATTTGGACCCGCCTCTGCGTGTAGGTCGCCGGAGGGCATCTGTTCTTCGCTCAGACAGGAGAGGGTTAAAGGATCAGCTGATTCGGGGGCTCTGGCTCACTCAGGCCGGGGGGAGGGAGGGGCACGGAGTGCGGGACGAGCCTGTGGCAGCAGAGGCTGGCATTATGTTGCACCAGCCTGAGGCGCGCCGTGTGTTCTCCCAGGGAAGTTGTCCCTGGATCCTGGGACCCTGGCAGAGGTGGGCTACACAGGCTCTCGGGAGGGGAGGTGTGGAGAGTTTCCTGTGCTCGCACACTGGCTTCTTGGTGGCTGCAGCAGCAGCCTTAGTGTCTCATGTCCGTCTCTGGGGTCCACACTTATAGCCGTGGCTCACACCCATCTCTGGAGCTCCTTTAAGCGGCGCTCTGAATCCCCTCCCCTCGCACACCAGGAAACAAAGAGGCAAGAACAAGTCTCCTGCCTCTTCGGCAGCTCCACACATTTTTCCGGACTCCCTCCCAGCTAGCCGTGGCGCACTAACCCCCTACAGGCTGTGTTCACGCCCCCAACCCCAGTCCTCTCCCTGGGATCCGACCAAAGCCCGAGCCTCAGCTCCCAGCCCCTGGCCGCCCCGGTGCGTGAGCAGACAAGCCTCTCAGGCTGGTGAGTGCTGATCAGCACTGATCCTCTGTGCGGGAATCTCTCCGCTTTGCCCTCCGCACCCCTGTTGCTGTGCTCTCCTCCGTGGCCCTGAAGCTTCCCCCCTCTGCCACCCACAGTCTCTGCCCGCGAAGGGGCTTCCTAGTGTGTGGAAACCTTTCCTCCTTCACAGCTCCCTCCCACTGGTGCAGGTCCCGTCCCTATTTTTTGTCTCTGTTTTTTCTTTTGCCTTACTCAGTTACATGAGCAGTTTCTTGCCTTTTGGGAGGTCTGAGGTCTTCTGCCAGCGTTCAGTAGGTGTTCTGTAGGAGTTGTTCCACATGTTGATGTATTTCTGATGTATTTGTGGGGAGGAAGGTGATTTCCGTGTGTTACTCTTCAACCATCTTGAAGCTCCTCCCCTACCACATCATCTTTATCCATTCATCTGTTGATGGACATTTAGGCTGTTTCCATGGAATACACACTGTTCCTTACTAATCTCCTAGCTCAACAAGTAGTGGGTACAAAGCAGGAAATTGTAATAATAATACAATTTGGAAAGATTTGTTTTATCCCCATTGGAAAATAAAATAAAATTTCAGTTTGTTTTTAGTTAACTAGAAGGTTGTGTTCTCAAAATCAGCTTTAAAAAGGTGGAATACCTATTTTCTAAGCATTTTAGCTAATGGAAATTTTATAGGTAATGCTGATGGTCTGGACAGATTGTGTCAGGAAAATGTTTAATTAGTACATATTGAAAATGAGTGAGGAAGCAAGAAGAGACCAACTTCATTAACTCAACAAACTCTTACTAATTACGTAAGATATGCTGGGCTTTGGGAACACAAAATAATTTTGGAGTGTTTTCACACATATAATTTCATTGGTATTTCCAACTTAATGGTGGAAGGAATTCAAAAAAGGTTCATATGATTGAATGAACATCTTTCTATCAAAATTTAATCCACTGGGATGTCACCCAGGGCTGGAGAAGATTAATTTACTCTTGCCTCCATGTGATTCAAGAAGATTTTTTACATTACTATACCTGCCTGTGTGCGCAGTTTGCATTAAGAAAGCAGTTTACTTACTTGACGTGATTTTGCTTATTTCATGCAGAGTTTAAGTTATTGGGAGCCTCCATAAATGTTTGATAAATGGGTAAATGAATGAACAAGTAGTATAGTATTTCCACTTTGAAAGAATGTGTCTAATTGATTAAATCTAAATGGGTCACTGACTTTGTCATCTCTTTGTAGATTTGATATCACAGGAGGATATTTATGAAATTGAAATTGGGTGGTTTTGTTGCTGATCTTGTGTGACAAGAAAATCTTTGAAGGAGCACATTGTGTATAAATTAATTTCACTGCTTTTTAAAATGTTTCTCTTTCTCTAGATTTTAGTGCCAATTATTGCTAATAAGAACAACCATAAATCCTGGTCCTGTTTTATTTCACAAGACATGGAACGTCACATAGAAGTCATGAAAAATAAAATGCATATTTTTAGGGGCAAAATGTTGAGAAGAACTCTTCTACCAATTCCCACTATTGCAGGAAATGTTGACCTGGATGAGAAATATTCAGAGACCAAGTACGTAATGATATGGTTTACACAGGATATCAACATGGAGAGCCAACACACCCATTTAATATCGTACCCCCAGCAAACTGTCAGCAAAATATCAGAATTATTATAACTACAGCATATTTTAAAAAATAATGTACAGAAACACCATATATATTATTTCCTTTCAAAGTATTCTTTCTAAAAGCAGACTGTACAAAAAGCAAGCAGTACCAATTGCCATAATGTCAACAGTACTCTTCTAGTAAAATGTTTTTGAGGACATTATGATTCTTTAACAATTTTTTAAATGTTAGAGACATGCCCATGACAGAATAACAATGTCACAACTCAAATTGAGGCTATAAAAATAATAGATGTGATCTTGAAGAATTTATATTTAGAAAACTAGCTTATGGATTCATAAAATACCTATTAAAATTCAAGTCCTATCCTTATTTGGATGAAATGATTCATTTTTGTATTTTTAATCATTTCAGTGTTTGTAGACTAGAGCCAAATGAAAGGACAGTACTCCATGCAATTGAATCAGTGGTTATTAAATGGTCACATCAAATCCAAGAAATTGTAGAGAAAGATTTAGTGCGGCCTTTACTGAATGGTCTTCACTCAGATCCTCAAACTGAACTGGATTTCTGGATGATGAGGAGAGAGAACCTAGCATTCATTTATGATCAAGTAAGTTGAGAGCCCTAGAAATTGCTTGCCAGTTGAATTAGCAAAGTCAGTTGTAGAATTTGGTCTCCAAAGCCATGATTTCTAGTAATGTTAAAGGTTTAATACACTGCCTTTGAACAACTTAATTGTCCGTTTTCTTATTCCAAAGTTCTGTATGGTATGCATTCTTAAAATTAATGGGGATTAAAAGTAATTTTGCCTTTTTGTGACTATTTTGACAGTAATTGGAAACACTTTGTGGCAAAGAAAGAGTAGTTCCCAAGGGAAATGTTGAAGATTGTAAGATTTAATTAATCTAGTTGATGTAATTAATTTGGGAAAGGAGTAGATTTTGCTTAGTGGAGAGATGCAACTTTGGAAGAACTAACTGGTTCCTCTGCTGGTGTTTGCCATTAGAAGTTATTCAGTTTAATGTTCTAAAAACTACGACATTCATTCACATGTTCACCTATCTGTTAGAGATTTTCTGAAACAGATTTTATATGGAAAAGTTAATATTTTACATGTATAATAAAATGTATATTAACAGGCTTTTTGAAAATACAAATTAAGAGCTATAAATGTAAAATAACATACAGTCTTAAGGAAAAAAATTATTTTTAACTTGAAACCAGGTATGTCTTTGAGTATTAAATACTGTGTGTACTGTGCATGAATGGAATATTATTTAAATATTTTATTGCAGAATGCATTTATTTAGTTATTAATCTAGCTTATATATATATATATTTTTTTTTTTTCAATTTAGCTTCAGGCTCCCATTGTCCTCAAGATGGTTAAGATCCTGAAAAATAAGCAAAGCAGCTATTTTCCAACTTTGAAGGGTATCCTCATGGCTGTGGAAAATGGTAAGACTCGTGTTCCTCGGCCTGGCATCAGTGGTCTCTCCTGATCTGACTCCTGACTGTCTGCTCAGCCCCCTCTACCCTTCTACCCTTAGCATGCTCATGAAATGACTGCACTTGACTCTTCTAATGATAAGTCCATCTTAATTATCTGCAGTTTATTCTCCGGCTATATTAAACCATTTTTCGGGTGTATAGTAAGTACCTACCACAGAGGCTCTAGATTGAACTTTCAGTGAGAGTGTATGTGTGTGGAGGGGAAAGGCCTTTGGTGTTTAGCAGCGGGTCATTGAATGCCCAGCATGGAGGCTTTCTAATCAACAGTTGGGCTGCAGTTAGTCCAGTGACTCTTCAGTAGAATCTCTGAATTTGCTTAACATCCACCATTTATTTAACTCATAACGCGAAGTCATCATTGAGGTTTTGGTAAAGATTAAACACACAGAGAGGAGGGTTTGTTTGTTGAATTTTGAACAGGTAATGCATGTACATTGTTAAAACCCAGAAATTATAAACAGGTATTTTTAATTTAAAAAAGAAATTGTGTAAGTGAAAAGTTTCCTTATCTTCTCAGTACCCAGTTTCAACCTCACCCAGGCGTAACACCCCTCCGTAATTTTTTTATTTCTGTTTCTGTTTCTTTAGACATGTGTAAGCAAATACGGATATGATCCGTGATACTGAAGTTTTAAACGATAAAATTGAAAGATAACATGGCCCAGTAGCTTGTTTTTGTTTCTAACATGAGAAAATTATTTTTAAATTTTTTCCTATGTAACGTGGAAGGTTAGGAAATACTTAAAATCTACTTTGAAAATGTTTTGCTATCTCTTTAGGCTTTTCTCCATGAACTCTGTTTGAAAAGAGGCCTTAAGACAAGATGGCATTAGATCTGTATTTCTATCCCAGATCCACTCAGTACATCTTAAATTTGCTGCGTCCCTGGTTTCTGTTGGCCAACTTGGCATACTAACACCTTCCTTGTATAATTGTTGCAAGAATTAGAGCACTATTTCTCAACCTTGTCACCACTGACGTTTTGGGCAGGATAATTCTTTGTTGTGGGGAACCACCCTGTTCATTGCAGGGTATTTAGCAGCATCCTTGGCCTCTGTCCACTCCCCCCATGCCTGTTGTGAGGACAAAAAGTGTCTCAAGACATTGTCAAATGACCCTTGTGGGAAATCCTCCCCTGGCTGAGGACCAATGAATTGAAGACCTAATATACAGTGCACAGAGTACTAGGCACATAGTAAGTGTACCCTCAATAAACAGAAGCTGCTTGCATTTTTTCTGGTAGTAATATTCACATTTTCTGTGGATAAAACTTATCCAGGAATGAATCCCAGGGGTCCTCAAAGCCTTCTGAGCATATGGACTGGAGATTCAGGAGAAAATACTTTCAGTAGAACAAGTGGCCCAAAGCCATTCTCAGTTAGAGGTAGAAGGCTCTCCCAAAGACCTACTCGAGGCTTTGTAAAATCACTAGAAGTGCTTATCACATTTTAAGGGCACTTTACCTTTACATGCAATTATTGGATTTTGAAATTAACACTGATGAAAACACACTAATTTCAAAACGTGAGTGCATCTGAGGAAAAAATAGTTCCTGGACCCTCTCTTTCTTCCCTGGTCTTTATTGTTAGGTGGAGAGATTAATTGGTTACATGTCAAGAAGAGCAACATGGGTGGGTGCATACCTGACTCTGACAGCCAAAAAAAAAAAAAAAAGTCTGGCAGTTTGTTTTGTTTTTGACTTCTGACAGGAGTCTTTTGGGATAACACCAGAAATTAAGGAATTTACTTTCCTTCATTCCCTACCTTCATAAATAAAGACCATTTTCAGTTAATCAAAGGTATTTGTAGCCTCAGGAGTACAGTGAAGTCTGATGGAGATCCATTTAGGGTACATTAAAAGACCAGTTTTAATCAAGAGAAAATTTGGATTAGATTAACCAGTAATTAATCATAACTATTTCAATGTTGTCTTCATATATACCTTTTTAAAAAAGTATTCCTTATTCCTACCATGCATAACAATTTTTTAAATTGAGGTAAAATTCACCTAACATTAAAAAAAAGTTTTTAAAGTGTACAGATTGGTGGCATTTAGTGTATTCACAATATCCTGTAACTATTGCTTCTATCTAGTTCAAAATATTTTCATCACCCATGCTTGACAATTTCAGTAGTTACACTGTGGGTAATAATATAATGGAAAATTTTTCATGGTATGAGTTACTCTTATAGGACACTAGAATGAGATAATAGATGATTCAATTGTGCTGGTACCAAGTGCGTGGGAGGAGTTAACTTTCTGGTGAGTCTTCAGTCGCGATTTACTTGTGAGTACGCCTGGGTTCTCTTTGAAGGGTTGTTACAGCTGGGCAGTGTCGAAAGCCTTCCTAAGCTGCCCTGTGTCAATGGTAGGGTAAGTGATATAAAAAGAAAGAGGCAGCATTTAAGTACAGCCATGTTGTTTTGCATTGTTCTCTTGACCTTGTGAAGTGACTTCAGATAAAAGAGGCTGCCTCACAATAACGGTGGTTTCCTTTCAGCTCTTCTAGAAGCCCAAGATGTGGAACTTTACCTGAGACCCCTGAGGAGACACCTTCAATGTGTTCAGGAGACGGAATTCCCACAGACTGGTGTATTAATTGCCCCGTTATTTCATACCATCTGTCTGATTTGGAGTCATTCCACGTTTTATAATACCCCTGTTCGGATTATAGTTCTATTGCAAGAGTTTTGTAATCTCTTCATTGACCGGGTATGTAGCATGAAAAACATAGGAACAATGAGAATTATTGCCGTTTGGTAGGTTTTATGAGATCAAGGAGGAATGAATAAATCCAGTCTACAGAACACCTTTTTCCCTTTTCTTTTTTCATAAGACTTTTATGGTAACAAAGGCCAGATGACTGTATCCTAAAAGGCAAAGGAGCTCTGGAAATAAGTCAGATACAGTCAAGGGACAGGTTGTTACTGGATTCTGTTTAACATCCTACTTTTCTTCAAAAGAGATTTAAGGCAGCTTCTAATAAAAGGCACACACACGTAGTACTTTCTTTGTAGCTTTCCCTTTGGTTTCCACAGGAACACTGGCTGGGGGAAGACTTTTGGAAAGGGAAGTAAGTTAAGAGAATCTGGCAGAAAAAAAATGATCCTCCAAAAATAGTAGTAGAATTATATTAAAAGAATTCTGATTCATGGTTGATCTTTAAAAATCTTGTTTATAATTGTTTCTCTACTCTTCACTTAACTTGCAAAATGTTTAAAAAAAATTGGACTGCTTCCTCATCCTGTGGGAACTTTAATTACTCTTGTGTCCATAATATCAGAGAATATTTCATAATTTGAGAGCTAAAAGATACTTGCAGGGCATATCATCCAGTGATTCTTTGTTGAGGGTGTGTGTGTCTTAGTCTGCTTGAGTTGCCATAACAAAATACCACAGGCTGTGTGGCTTTATTTTCAGGAATTGCTTTCTCACATTTTTGGAGCCTGGGAGACCAGATCCAGGTGCCAGCATGGTCGTGTTCTGACTAGAGCATTCTTTCTGGCTTGCAGATAGCTGCCTTTTCTCTGTGCCCTCACACTGAGAGAAAGATCTCCCTCTTCCTCTTTTTAAAAAACCACAGTCCTGTCAGATCAGGGTCCTGCGCTCATGACCTCATTAACCTTAATTACCTCCTAAAGATTCTATCTCCAGGTAGTCATATTGGTGGTTAGGGCTTCAACACAGGCACTTTTTTGGAGCGGGTGTCACACTTTAGTCCATAGCAGGGTCTATATCAGGGTGTGTGTCTGAACACCTAAGGAGTTTTTGTAAAACAGATGCCAGAGAATCAGAATCTGTGCATATGGCTTAGCCTTTGAGTTGCTAAGTAAGAGCGCTTCCTATGAGAATTGGATCATTTCCAGCTGTAACTGGCAAACAAGCAGAAAAAGAGAAGTGTCTAAGTTCATATGAAGTGGAAAGTCTAACAGTACAAAGACTTGAGGATTAGCTTGCTCCAGGGGACACAGATGATAATTTCAAAGCTCTGTTTTGCTCGTTTGTGTTTGACTTGATTCTCAGGCTCTCATCACGTGTTAACCAAGGTGGCTTTTGGTAGCACCAGATGGATATCCTTCTAGTAGAGGAACTTCCCTGGAAAGAGGCTGACTTTGTTTTTTGTTCTGGACCAGTGGGTTTTATTTTCACTCCTGGAACAATCATGTGGCCAGGGAGATAGGATATCTTGGACAGGCCTGGATCACTAGCTCAGAGAAGGGTGGACAACTGTGATTGACCTAAATCCCTGATCTAGTCTAATGCTTCGCAGTGGTTTTCACCTCATGACTCACATAGAAATTTAAAATTTTTCATTGCGTAGTCAGGTAAAATTGGAGGGGACTGGGAGCCCTGAAAATCTGTTCATAGACAGGGCAAGCTGTTTGGAGCTTCTGCTGCCCCAGGCCCCAGAACCTTTCTTTTCTAAACGTTAAAGAGAGCAGTGTTGTAGCAGAAACTGGTTGGGGAACTGTGTGCCATTCTAATCCTGATACTTTTTCAGGTGAATTAATGGAAACTTGAAAGATATCATTTGCTCACTTTGCTTGAGCATTTAGGGGGAAATCCAAATTAAAGAACAGGTTTCCTGACTTGTAGTTTACCGTTTCTGGAATACATATGAGATTGAGGTGTGCTTGTGTGTCTTCCTCTCTGCTTCCAAAGAAGTGGAATGGTGTATGGAAAGGGCTTTGGGCTCAGACCAACCAGGATTCAAATCTAATTGAACCAGGGGACTTCCCTGGTGGTCCAGTGGTTAAGACTCTGCACTTTCACTGCTGAGGGCTTGGGTTCAATTCTTAGTCAGGGAACTAAGATTCCACAAGCCGTGTGGCACAGCTGAGAATAAAAAAGATCAAGTTGAACCATTTTAGAGTAGTTAAATCACTTTTCCGAGCCTCACTTTCCACACTTGTAAGTGCCCTGTTCATGGGCTTTTGTAAAGATCAAAAGAGAGAACCTCAATGAAATGCTATGTGTGGCATTTAACAGAGACTCAGTAAAAGTTAGTTCCAAACTCTTGCCTTACAAAATAGTTGCAGCTGTCGATAGGAAATAACAGGTCTGTTCCTTGCTATATTTTAGCATCTCTTCTGGCTTCATTCTATTTGTTTCTCTGTTGTGCAGACTCAGTTTCGCTCTCTTGTTAAGTGAGTGCACTGCGTCCTAATGGCTTGGATCCCTACTGCAGGATTAACCACTGTGACCACCGCTTCTCCCAAACCCCTTTTGAGGGATCCTCATCGCATTTTGAGAATGATCCAAACTTTTACTGCAAAGCTCTGTTAGTGTAGAAACCTCAAATGTTGTCATTCACTATTGTAGTTGGCTTGCAAGGGGCCCTGGTTACCTGTAAACCTATAAACCTATTATCCCCGGGTCCTAGGCTGTGTCAATGGTCAAAGTTTGCCAAGCTCCCAAGAAAATAATGTTGTTTCTCTTGTTCCTTAGTTACTATTCTTGGCTTATGTCCAAAGGTTCCGTCGACCTGATTTCCTAGATTCTCCAAGTGGACTTTGTAGTAAATCTGCCCCAACATGTTAGGAATCAAAAATGGGCAATGAGTCAGCTTTCATACCTGGGTTCTCTGAAGAGCTAAACTCCGCACCACCTGCCACCACCCCCAGTCGTTTGCTGTCTAACTTATTTTTAATACTTATTTAACAAGCACTGTATAGTGCCTCTTATTTGCCAGAATTCTTCTAAGCCCTTTACAAGAATCTACGAGTTTAATTCTCTGGCAACACTATGATATAGGTGCTATTAGTAGATACTTTATGTATTTAAAAAAAAAAAAAACCCTTTTTTAAAAAAAAAAGTTCAGAGAAGATAAATAGCTTTCTCAAGGTCACCCAGCTGACAGAGTTCTTACTCATTTTGCTCCATGTTTTAATGTAAGTTTTTATTTCTAATTACTATTAATATGTAGTATATGAATAATTGTAAAATACTCTTATTGCATAAAATTCATAACAATGGACATAGTCCTGCAGTTCTATCACCCTAAAATTCAGCATTTAAAAATTTTCCTTCTTCCAAAATTTACACGTATTTATGCATTTTATCATATAATTCTTTTTTTTTTTACTAGCTTCTTGAAAAATGATTGCTATTGTTGGATATTTACATTGCTTCCAGCCTCCTGTATTACAAACAACATGCAGAAAACAACTTTATACAGAAATCCTTTTCCTTAACTTGGATAATTGGCTTAATATAAATTCCTGATGTTGATCAAGGGGTACAGTCTTTTCATGACTATTGAACTCTACTTGATATTTACAAATTCTTTTTTAAAAGATTATGTTAATTGCATTGCTATTATCAATGTGTAAAAAGTTTTAGTATAATTCAGCGCTTTGAGCATTACCAGCTTTAAAAAATTTGCAGTGATTCATTGAGTATACACTTGTACCATGTTGTTTCTTAATTTTGTACGTTGCATGATTTGTGTGATCACACATTTTATGTGCCTTTTATAATTTTCTTATATAGTTTTCATGTACTTTGTTTTTGTGACTATGTAGACTGCAACGTGTTTATGAAACATTTGAACCCTTGCTGTGGTATACGTCAGAAGTCATAAGCTGGCATTCTGTCAACTGTCTTTGGCCAATGGATCAATGCACTGCTGTTTTTATTTTGCATAGTATTTTGAAATTTAAAAAAAATTGTTTCTGATGCTTAAATTGAGTAGGTCTCATTGAATTTCCAACATCCCAGCCTCTACTGAAAAGCCAGATCTCACTGCATTGACTCTTGCATCCCCATTGACACAGTCAGCTGCTAGAGCTTCACGTACCCCTTTAGATGGGTCATGTGCTGTCCAGGTGACCATGGTCTCCACTGTTCACTGTTCCTGATCTGCTAGAATTGAAGGAACTAGTTAGTAGGCTTTTTAGACACCAAATGAATGATATTCTTACTACTTTACACATTTATGGCACAGAGTCTATATTGCATGTAAAACCATAGCCATTATTGGGAGATGGAGGACAATATGTCTACATTTAGAAAAACATTTCTTCTATCTGCTGTGTTGAACCCCAATGGCTTTCAATACTTGCTCCATTGAGATCTGTGACAACTTTCTAAGCAACTGAAGAATTAAAGGTGTGCAGTTTAAACCTATAATTTATATGTGGTGAAGATGCATCAGGATTAGATTTTATAGGTTCCTGAGGCTCCTAAATAGGGAAATTGTGAAAGTTCATAACAAATATGCAAAGGGAAGAACTGAATGATGGTCCTGTGAGAGTTGCTACATGAATCTGCTGGTTTTTCTATAATCATTCTCGCCTTTGCATTTCCACTATTGAAAACTAGTTCATATGGCATATCTCGGCCAGATTTTATGTCCTATAATGAGTTTAAGCCCCCAGAAGAGAAGTCTGCTAACCTAAAAGAATTGCCAATGGTATAATCACCTATGTTAGCTCTTTCTCACCTTTTCAAGAGACCTTGTGCTGTCAGGTAACGTGACCATATTTTTAAAATACATGGTCTGATAGATGTCCCTTCTTGGCTTATACATTTCTTTATGTGAAAAAACAGTTGTGCAGAATATTTGCTGCCAGGAATAGCCATGCAAATTCTGGTTACACAGTTGTTGTATCTTTGAAGCTTAGCAAAAATGTAGTCATTGGCAGAATGTTTAATTCCAGAAATTGCAGCATCTCCTGTAGAAGTCTCTAATGTATGCAAGTATGTCATTGAAACCTAAGTGCCTGAATTTCTAGAATTTGTATTTCCTGTTTTACAGCATTGCTGGCCCAATTCTAGACATTGTAATTTAAAAATCATGCACTGAAAAAATAAAACAGTTCATTGAAACAGTCATTTTCAGGAAAATTATTAAACATTTTCTTATTATTATTTCCTTTCATTGAATTCTAGGCACTAGCTTACCTTTTGCCTGAAGACCTTATGAGAGGAGAAATTGAAGACTCTCTGGAAAAGGTGCAGGTGGCCGTTAACATCTTAAAGACTTTCAAAAATTGTTTTTTTAACTATAGAGAAGGATTGGCAAGCTATTTTATGGGAAATAAGGAGCTGAAACCATGGGATTTCCAGTCTCATCTGGTGTTTCTTAGATTTGACAAATTTCTCGACCGTTTCATGAAAATAGAGGTATTCATTTATTGACTTGTAATTTATTCATATTGTAAGTTGTTTCAGAAAATCCCATAGCTTTTTATATGATTTAGGGAATAGTTCTACTTGGGTGGGAGGTGGGAAGTCTGCTTTCTTGGTGATCCTCATGAGGAGTTTACGAGGCCCGTGCTATCAAGATACAGTAAAAGCTTTAGTTTGTTTAGTTTCAAAACTTTGTTTAGTTTTAAAGCTTTGGCTTCTTTTTCTAAAAAATTCATTTTTGATTATTTTATTATACTGAGTGTAAGTGAATCACTATGTACCAGTGACCCTTGTCCTACAGCTTACTACGTTCCTAGAAAATGGTTGTAAATCAGGAAGCTATAAAATAACCCCTTTTTTCTTTACATGTTTGATGGTTTTATTGGGATTCCATAGCTGAAAACCCATTTGATAATCTAAAATATCATGGTAACTTTTAGTATATAAATATATATGTTATACTATTCAAATATTATAACTATTCATAAAAATAGATGAAAAGAACATGAAAACGTGCTTTTTATAAATGTTTTAAATGCCAAAAAACCAAACATGAATTACATACATGTAAACACTTACACACCACAACTTGTATGGAGCCAACTGGCTAAGGTTTCTGTTTTTGTTTTTGTTTTCATTTTGAACTTCCTTATTTTCTTTGTAAAACTCTTTCTAGCAAGTTTGGGCTTTTTTGTTGATAGATTTGTTGAATTTCATTCAAAATTAGAGCTTTATGTTTTGAAAATTCTCATCACTTAAGCAGCCTGAATGCCTCTTAAAGTTTGAGTGCCAAATGCCTGACTCTGGGTAACTTGCATCACCCTTTTATAACAGTCTCTTAAGCTCCTTTTCAATAAGAGAGCCCATCACTGCAGTGTTGGTGGCTGAAAATGAGTTTTGGATCTCACCCGGACGTCTGACTTACGATTAGAAGGATATGAAATTAGAGAATCAAATGTTTAACTATGGTAAGCTAGGTGTTGCCTGTACTGCTTGATAATTTTCAGTCTATGTGAAAATGGGAATATGATTTTAAAAGTAGGCAGTTACTTAGTTCAGTTACATCATTAATATTCACTTTATGTCATGTAAGTGTCCATTGACTCACTGATTTTGAATGTTGGAAAATGTTCTTTCTTTGAAACTTTAAAATGTTCTTTTCCTACTCAAGAGGGTGGAAAAATCGTTACGATGTTTTTTTCAAAGGATATATTTGTCACCATCCTGGAATTTGAAAAGCTGGAAAGACTTGAATTTGGCGGTACCAAGGGAGCAATTTTAAATGGACAAATCCACGAGATGAGTGAAGAATTTATGGAACTCTGTAAGATTTTTAAACAGAGCACATATGACCCATCTGATTACAATAACATGGTAATACTGTATCTTTGTGTTTTCAATTTCATAGAATCGTATTTTAAAGCTGGGAAGGACAGTAGGTCACAGTGATAATAGGTCCCATTCAGTCCAACCTCTCCTGGATGAAAAGAGGGGAAATGACTTGTCTGAGGTCTCTCATTTACTTAGTGGTAGATCAGGGACCAGAAGTTAGGTCCCTAACTTTTGCATTTTCAGTTTAGAATATTTTAAACTGTTTCTAATATAACAGTGGACCTCAGTTTGGATTTGTCTCTTGTTGATGTATAGTGAAAAGGAACTTTCCATATTAACTCATTTAGATCTGATCATGTGGTGTCCATGTAACTTGTGTGTTTTATTTTAGCCTTTTCTTGAATCATTAGGTAAATTTTTCATCTACTTGAATATTTAGTTTCAGCTCATTCATTACATATGTTATTAACATGTATGTTGTCTGAAAAAGAGGGAAGCTTTCAGGTTTAAGCTGCTTCTGTTTTCTGTCACTGCCAGCAGGTTAGGAGCCAAGGAGTTCCTGTGGGCATCCCTGCAGCTCTAGGGTAAAAATAGCTTCATTTTAGTGGTTTGCCATGACAGTGAATCCCAGGTACCAAAAAAAAAAAAAGATTACCTCTAGTCATCATTGTTTTTTGTGGAATGTGAATTTATTCACTATTATGTGTATATTTGACCAAATACTTGACTCTCTGAAGTGTACAAGTACAGTATGTTAGCTTTGAAAGGACATGGTTAGCAAACTTAATCCCTCTGAACTGCTGACAGTTTTTGGGAAGTGGAGTTAATGGTAAGAAAGATATGGTCATTGTGTGTCCGGCTAATTTGTGGAAAAGTAGGAGAAACGTAGATCTGTGGTGATGATCTAGGGGATGCATGAGCTCATCCCCAGAGCCTGGTAAGATGTCTGTCACCCAGCAGGAATTCAGTGAATATGGACAGGATGGGACTCTTGGGAGGCGCTTGATTTAGCTCTTCTGAGCAACTAAGCAGAGGAGCGTGAAACCCAGCGTGCACAGGACTGTCGGGTGCATTCGAGTTGCAGGAGAGCCTTGATTTGCTCATGATTACAAATCCTGGCAGGTTTTCAGTGTGCCAGGGTTGGAGGACATGGCTAGGTTTAGCTGATATCGCTTCCCTGGTAGTGCTAAAGGTCCTGAATTTATCCCTGTGTCTGCCCAAACCCTGCACAGTCACAAACATAGAATAGAAAATTCACTTGCTCTTGACACACACACACACACACACACACACACACACACACACACACACACACAC